TGTTTTACTTATAATTGATTCTAGTTAGTGATGTCATTTACTTATTTATATGTGCCTTACAAATATTTATGGTGTTCTTACTTTGTATCTGTCACCTTGAAAGGTCTCTTCCTTCATAGATCTTAGAATTCAGTTTAAGAAACAAAGCCAGATGATAAAAGTCATTAATACAGGAAAGCCTTTAAAGAAAATGTGTTCTCTGAAGTAAGTTAAACAGTGTCTGAATTTTTAGTTTTGCTACATATTTGCTCAGAAAACTCCTCTTTTGAAAAGATGAATAAATCTAGAGTTCCATCCAAGTTCAGCTGAATGATGGAAGTTAGTAGTAGCACCCTTCTCTAAGCTATCCCCATCATTCTCTTCGAATACCAACTATAATTGATCTGTAACCTGTAAAATTTCAAGTTAGTTTTGTCCTGCGATCTCCTTAAGGCTACTTGAACTATACTCATATGCAGGGCTAAGTACAATGACTGGCAAAGGAGATCCTTAGTAAAGAATAAAAAAAGAAAAAGTTTGCTTTATAAATGCTTTATCTTCCCCCTTTACTTCTTATTTCATATACAAGTGGTACATTAAAATCCGAATTAGAAAGTCTAGAATTGGTGGGAATTTGATCAAGTCACTTAAGCTCTGTTTCTCATATCCTCATTTGCTATTTCCAGGTCCACAATTCTGTAAACAATTCCAGTAATTTCGACTCGGCAGACAGATATTTTTCACCTTCTCTAAGCAGTAGCTTATTTATTTTCTCAATTCATATGCATAGTCTAGCTGGTGTTCTTCACGTGACACTGATCCTGACATTAAGAGGACCTCACTTCCTTTATCAATTTTCAGAAGGACAAGGGAAGATTATCTCTAAATTTTATTGTCTGCAATAATTTTTTAAAATAACATCCTAGAATACCTCATGGGAATAGACACAACTGGCCGAGATGCCAAATTTTACATGAAGCCCTAAAATATTTCAAATATACCTTGTCTGCTGAATAGGAGAACCCCGAGAAGACAGGTATATTCTAAATGCATTCCTGGGCCTTTGTAACTTCAAATTTCAGCAAATTTTCATTATGAGGACATTATAATAATATATCTCTTCCTTTGTTTGGGTTTCTTCCATGTGTAAGCTTCCACGGTAGACTCAAGTCAAGATGCTTTTAGATTTCTAAGAATCACTTCTATCTCTGATATTACTGTGTAGTAAAGATACCTAAGAACTTTTGGTGAGCCATGAGGGGGCGGGTTGACTGGGTAAGTTTTCATGACACATAATGTGATAAAAAAAAGCATTCAGTGCAAAGGCCAGACATAGAATTCACTGAGACGAGCTTGCTTGTACTATCATATGATGGTATGTGTGGCTATACTATATATAAACACATGATGTCAGGAAAAATATAGACCAAGGAAATTTGGCACAAATAGAAATAATATTTTTCTAAACTCAATTCACTGTCATTACTGAGAGCATGTGAACAGTGGACCCAAGATCTGAATTAAGTGAACTAAATTCTTAATTTCCTCTACTAAAGGTAAGGAATTTTAGAAAATTTAAAATTCACTTTGCCTGTGTAGAAATTTATTTTGGCTGACTTTCTGGTTACAATTATGGTAGACTAATAGTTGTTCCTTTTCCTAGAAGGAAAGAGCATAGTATTAATTTGCATATACACAGAGAACTGAAGAGATCACATTTTTTGTGCAATAAAACATGTTTTGATATCTTTTTGTAATGGGATTCCACTATGATTGTTTCATTGAATCAAATAGTGACTATTTTTGGTACATAGCTATTAAACCTTTTGAGTAAGAAGCCTGGCTTCAACTCTCTGAGAAATATCTAATATTTCCAGTTATAGAGCTTTTATAGTTAGTGAATTTCTTCAGCTCAGTTGTTACTATTTTCAAGGTTGTCATTGGAAGCTCTTTCTGCCTCATAGTTCCTAGAGTTAAATCATTCATGTAATCTTTCATTGCATTTAATGACTATTAAGCATCTAATTTTCTCAAAGCACTTGGGACACAGCAGTGAACAGTGACACTTCCTACTTTAATGTTGGCCAACAGGTAAGAAATGTAAGCTTTCAGTCCACCAGTTAGCTGTCTGATGAAGTCAAGTAAAGCCAAGTCAATGAGTTCATTTGAAACATGTATTCTGCAGCAAGACTCCAGGATTTTGCCTGTTTAATAGTTCTGACAAATCTAGGACTAGATGTAGCACACATTGCTATCATTCTGCTCAAGGTTGTAACACTATTTTTGCATGTTTCTTGGTTTTTTTTATATTTATTTTAAAATTATTTTATTATTGTTCAAGTACAGTTGTCTGTATTTACCCCCCACCACACCCTGCCAACCCCAGCCAAACCCACCTCCCTCCCTTGCTTCCACTGTTCCCCCTTGGTTTTTGTCCGTGTGTCCTTTATACTTGTTCCTGAAAACTCTTCCCCTTTTCCCCTGAAATTCCTCCCCCTCTTCCGATTGGTCAGTTGGGTCAGTCTGACAACAGACTGTTGTCAGTCTGTTCTCAATTTCTGTGCCCTTGGTTATATTTTGCTTTTTTATTTGCTTTATTGATTAGGTTCCTGTTAAAGGTGAGACCATATGGTATTTGTCTTTCACCACCTGGCTTATTTCATTTAGCATAATGCTCTCCAGTTTCATCTATGCTGTCTCAAAGGGTAGGAGCTTCTTCTTTCTCTGGGCTGCATAGTACTCCATTGTGTAGATGTACTATAGTTTTTTGATCCACTCATTTTACCAATTTTGAAGAAGCTACCAGGAACACGGGGCATCTGAAAAGGATCCAGAACTTCCATACCCTGGTAAAGCTTGAAACCTGCATTATCCCACCTAAAACCCCAGACTGCAATTGTGTAATCTCTAACACTCTAGGACAAAGGAAGCCAAAAGTGGTACGTTTCCCCTGTTAAAACAATAATAAAGTGGGGTAGATTTTACCACCTGAGAACAAGGACATTGACACATTCTTGATTATTCATAGACAAAGTATAAAATTTATATGACATAAAGTTCAGGAGGCACTTTCAAACTTGTAAGCAAAATTCACTTTTCATTCTAGCGCATCAAAGATAATGTTATTTAAATCCAGTCAAGTACATACATAAAGTTCTCTGAAATGTCTATGTTGAGAAATTCAGGCAGCTTAGGCTAAATTATTTCCTCAAGAGATCACTGCAGAAGGTCCAACACCCACGACCTCCCACGAAGACAACAGGATCTACAGCGGGGTCTCTGTAAAAGCCCAGAGTGTCACCAATTCAGGCTTTGCACGCAGTAGAATCTGCATCACAACAACTGAACCCTGCCTTTGTAGACTGAAGGCAGCCAGAGACAGTAGGTTAGGAAACAATCATGTCTGTTCTCAGTAAAACTTGATTTATAAAAATAGGCAGCTGACCAGAGCTGGCTCACAGACCATAGTTTGCCTGGTCTACGTATCTCTGTATTCTGAGTACGGGTAACATTTCTTACAGTTACTTAGGCTCTTACTTCTAATTTATGCCCTATCACATATTGAAATAAGCATGAGCAGGGAACTTCAGTGAAAAACATATAATTTTTCATTTATCATGATATCACGTGTAATAAAAATGTCCTCATGAAAGAAATGCTCAAAATCCCAAAGTTTACCCATGTGAATGCTATTTATTTCTACACTGATAAACTTTTGATTATTTCTCTGTAGTAAATTGTTACTTATTGCCCAATAGTACAGTGAGTGCAAATTAAATTTTTCTTACTGTTTTTGCTAGAGATATTCTTAGTTGTACTTGAACTGCCTGGGGGCATACACCCTACATCAGTTGGCCTCAGTCTGCAGTGATTTTCCAGGTGATATTGTCATTACCACCATCTTTCACATCAGCTATCAATGTCCATATGTCTCTTTTAAGTGATCCTTTTTCTCATGTCCAAATCCCTTTCTTATATTCCTTCCACCATAGTCCCATGCATGAACTGTGCTGTCTACGGAAGAACTGAATTCTGTTTGGAAGACTGGGACAACCTAGTTTCTGGAATTACATAAGTCACCACAAACCCATTATTAAGTCCTTGGCCCTTTGCAGGAGGGCTGTATTTCTCTTCTGGGTGCATAAATTTTACAAAAGCCGTTTTCCACAATACTCAAAATCTTGCTTGCTTCTTTTTTTGTTTTGGCTACATTCGAAAACATTAAGGTTACTGAAAGTCTGATGAATGGGTAAATAAATGAAGAGTCTTCCTAGAGAACTAATACCTCTTTATTTTCCAACTTCTTTATTTTGAAAAACTAATTTGAGATTTTTTGTCTTTACCAATGCCACTACTTAAAATTTGCTCTACTCCATAGACTGCTTATTTCTGACTATCTTTGTCTAGAACAGTTTTGTACAATGAATCTCATCCTGGGACTCCAGAAAAATCATCTAAAACAGCATTTGTAAAATACCAAATCCTAGGTCCCACCCTGTAGAATTTTCTATTCCTTTGGTTGGGGATACACAGAACAGGCAGTAGTCATTTTTGGTTCTGTTTCATTTTAAGATTCCCTGGTATTCTCAAGTTAATAAAGACCCAAGAATCTCTGATTATTTTTCTTTCTTTATATTTTTAAATTTATTTTTATTGTATTTATAAGGGGATAAGGGGATAATGGTTTTCTTCACCCAATTTCTTTTGGGAGTCCACATAAAGGATTAAATATAGAGGTTTTTACGATGATACTCCTCTTGCTTTTTTGTGGTATAGAAATTTAACAAGAAGTTCACCTTTCTCTTCTGGGAAAAAAATGCCTTACAAGTTGAATTCCAAGTGGCTGCATGTCAAAATACATATATCTGGATTATATACCCATGTGAAACATATAGTAAGGTTTGAGTTGTCAGTGTTGAGATCCTTCATTCTCCTTTCTTGGGTTGACTGTTGTGTCTTAAATGATTATTATTGATAACTCTCTAGCCATGTGAACGTTATTGTCTTTCTCTCGTTCGTAGCACCAGAAGAATGGGCCACGACCCGCTCCAGCCTGAAGGCACCACCGCCAAGGTCAGCCAGAGGGGGATACAGGGAGCACCCCTATGGTAGATATTGAAGGTCCTCCTCACCCGTGACCTCACCTCAAAGACAATTCATAGCCTGTGGTCTCCACAAAAACAGCAACAAGACAAGTAATAGTCCTTTTTTTTTCCTATTCTAGGAATAACTTCTCATGATTATTCCCATATAGTTCTTGTATTTCCCCTATACTGTTGGTGTGACTTTGGCACTAGTATTTTCCAAAACGGACTAAAAGAGACACTGGCAAGCATTATCTATAAACCGTTCAGTAGGATGATATTCTCTTGGTTGTTTTTCATTGTTGTGTGTAATCTTTTAATTTTTTTCTTTTTCCTTTTTTTTTTTTAAGAAAGAGCATGAATCTGTTAACAGATTTTTGAGTCTCAATCAACTAGCAAAAACGTTGTTTAGGGTTGCTAAAAGACTGTAATATGATTTTTGAACTAGCTGATAATAAAGTTGTAGATAAGATGTTTTAACCTGTCTTTTAATATCTGTTAGTTAGATGAAGATGTTTGATATTAAGTTTGTAAATTTAATTTTAAATGCTGTTTTAATGGGGTTGAAAACAAGCAGCTACTGTATGTATGTAGCTAACTGAATTTGTTCAGTGTTTTAACCTGTATTTGTTAAAAAAGAAAAAAAACACACATAAAGTTCCATGTGTAAGCTTCTCTAAATAGGAAACCACAATTTGTCAAATATGTTTGCCATAATTTGTCAATAAAGCTGAAAACTTTTGTAAAAACTAAATTTGGAATTACTTGTTTTCTAGCTTTAAATGTCTGCTTTATTTCTTCTTCAAGAGATGCCTAAAATGTTTTCTATTTAAAAATTACAAAAATGAACCCAAGCTTGTTTTAAGATATTTGTGTAATACTTAAAAATGTATTAATAACTTATGGTTGTTAAATAATTTAAAAGTTAACAAACTAAACTGTTACATGAATCATGGTTAGTAAACACTAATGTATAACATGTTAATGGAAAAAAAACTGGATTTAGAAAAATAAATGGATTTTAAACTATCCTCTAAGCTTTATCTTGCTAAACACAAATTCTGATTGACTTGTTTGCATTAGCATGTCTCTCGTGAGAAAGAGTAATGGAGTATAAAGAGGTAAGATTACCACTTACCACTGTCTAAATGCCTAGTTCTTCAACCTTTGAGTTTCCCCGCACATTAAATATCCCATCCAACATGTAAGCATTGCGTAGATTCACTTTATTGTTTTCACTCAAAGGAGTGCGTGGACTTCATTTGCGTAGTTGATAACAGTTTGTTTTGACAAACAAATCATCAGTGTCACTGGCCAGTTGTTGCTATTCAACCTCAAAAACTTTATTTGTAATTTTCAGTGCTAAATATCACCGCCCTTGAAGGCAGTTTAGAGGGCTGATATTTCTTTTGAGACTATCAGACTTGATGGCTGATGATTATTAAGGAAATATGTCGCAGGACTCAAAGGATGACTAAACGTTAAACAGGTAACACTAATAGTAACTCTGTAATTTTGCATATGCAACAGTAATGTTAAATATTCTCAGTTATTAAGTTCCTGATAGTTAAAAAAGTAAACCTACAAAAACATAACAAATAGGTCTATAGGTTATTAAAACAACTAATTAACATTAACTAGAGGCACCAAAATTATTTTACAATATATAACCCTCAAGTTAATAAACAGAACTAAAATTAACAATAATAGTAATGCAACTCTTGCTAACATCAAACGTAAGCTAAATTCTGATGGAAAAAAAAGAAAGAACATGAAAGACTTGATGGTAGGGATGAATGCCAAAACTTAATCTTTTAAATACAGTTTTTTTGTTTATGGTGGCTTTTGTCAATGTGATTGGTTTACTTTTTTGCTGCTAACCAGCTTAGGCATATTGCTGTTCAGTTTCTGCAGCTGGAGTTGCATGCTGATAGTTTTACGAAGTGTGTGTCTGTCATCAATTAAAATTGTAAATATTTGCCTTTCACAAATGTTACTTAGTTATATTTAATTTTCTTTTTTTATTCTTTCTCACTATTTCAGGTACCCACAAGCAAAGAGCATGTAATTGAATAGCTGAAAGTGATGGACTAAGAAGAATAGAGGTAAACTTATTTTTTTAATCTTCTCTGAAATAGATAATCTTCACCAAGGTGACCCATGGCACTGAACTGCAACACCAAATACCACTTGTTGAAAACAGAAAAGGTTTAGATTGTTGTGAAGGAGCTGAGTTATTTTTATCTTTTTCAAAATGAAGTGATATAACTTGGTATCTACCTGGCAAGACTTTTGAGCTTATCCAGAAGCTTGTCAAATGAAATGTGAATTAGTAGTTAATATTCAGTCCTTTGCTGTAAACTACCACATATTACCTCCCTTTGACTTTCAAATAAAGAATACTAAGACTTTTACTCTACAGATATAAAAGAAGGAAATCACAATTATTGGCTGAGGTAGACGGACGGAAAAGGGGACCCCATAATCAACCCCTCAACTACCCCTTGTCAGTGAGATAAAATTTGGTAACATTAAAATAACTGAGCTTACCATTATTTTCCCCATTTATCCCACTGGGTTTATCAAAAAAACTTGTTTTTCATCTGCCATTCTATTTGATTCAGCAAATATTTACTGAGTACAAAGCACTATTGGAAATTGAGATTTGGTTTCTGTACCCAAGGAGTTGTCAGCTGTAGCCAATAAAACTCTGACTAAAAACAGTGCAAGGGCAGTTAGGAAATCCACAGAGAGACCTGACCATTCAGAGAATTGAAAAGGCCTGGCCAGGATATTTGAAACAAGGGAAACCCTAAGTCTTCTCCTTCTGTGCCTAGTCCTCTTTTTACTACACAAATATCCAAATGTCCACAATGCAGTGGAGATTTAAAGGCCACGGGAGAAATAGGAGAGAGCCAGCAGATTCCTTAGGACTGGAGGTAGGGCTGAGGCAGGGAACAGTGGAAAGGGGTAGCCAGTTCATTGATGAGGAAGAGAGCGCCATCTGGTGAATAGAATAGGTTGTGCCAGTTCTGGAAGTGAGAGGGATCCTGAGGACCAGGTTCATAAAAGCACAGGGAAAGCAAAGCCTGGAGAGGCGGGGTCCAGGTGAGTCATGGTTGTCCCTGAGAACTGTGTTAAATTTCTTGGATTTCACTGGAAAAGCAAAAGGAAGCTGAAGTAGGTTCGAAGTAAAGAATTAGAGCTATCCCCCTAAGAAAATTACCCCAAGGAACTCAGGCAAACATCTCATTCAGTCAATTTTATAATGACTAACACCTCTTCATCTGAGATAGCCTTTCTAAAATTCAAATGATCAAAATAACAGTTTAATACTGTATGTGCTTCAGTTAATCAACTGCCTTTGTTAAGTTGCAGAATGAAAAAGTTACCGAAATTACAGTTCTGAAATTTTATTTATCAGTAATATTTCATATCTGACTTAACTCTTTAAAAAAGTTACTGTTTTTTATACAGTAAGGGGAAAAGAATCTCTAGTCCAGATATCCTGCATATTATTCTCCTTTCATCCTTATTAAACAGACTTGATTTCGTAAAGCGATAAAAAAGAAACCAGTTTGTTACTAGTCGATCAATAGGTTTCTGTGTCCACTTAATTCTCTTATCGTCTGGATTGTTGTGCTCCAGTCCTCCAGCTCTCTCACTATCAGAACTTTGGGCAGGGCCATCAGGGTGGAAACACCAGGACTGAACAGGAGAAGAGAGCGTCCTTGGCTGTTGAGTTTAGAGTAAGAGTTTTTAAAGCTCAACTTTAAAAGTTGAGCTTTGTGCTCAACTTTTGTGAGATTTGTGAGAAAGAGGATTTTGAGTTTCAAAAGGATGCATTTTTAGTAGGCTTTTAAGTAGGACATAAAGTGTATGAGTTAACTGTAGATGCGAAAGACTCCCATCCATAAATAAACAAACAAACAAATAAATAAATAACTGACTCCCACCCCTTGCCTTTATACATCTCAAAGATAAACATTGTCCAGGCTGAGAAGAAAACTTAAAAGGCAGCAATAACTACGGTCTTAGCGTAAGATATTAGTGTGGCCTCAAGTATGAGTTCTGCACACTATGTCCATTACCCCATAAAAGTCTGAGATACTTTTGGAACACAGAGGAGGCCTTTGTCTAAAGAGGAGGCTGAGGAGGCAGCAAGGTTCACAGAATCCCCCCAAGTCAGTGTGCTCCAAGTGTGACCCTGTAGACGAGTGTTTCTACGGAATGTCTTTGCATGCTGGCAAGAGCGGATGAAGCAGGTAAGTCAGAGCTGCACACACAGTCACCCCCATGGGAAGGCAGGGGAGGACATGGGAGTCTCGGCCTGTCCCAACCCTGACCCAGGTGTACCAGTGGATACTGAGAAGGTAAGATCAGCGACTCGGCTCTCTGCCACCGACACCTCCCCAACTTCAATACAATCAGGAACAAGAGGGGGAAGCATACATCTCTGAGTTAACAGAGGAACTCCTGACCAAAATTAATCTGAACTGGCTGAGGTTATTTTTCTCTGCCTGGCCATATGGGAACTTGAGAATGAAACCGAGTTGAGGTGTAGAAAAATATAATTATATATGCATTGCAGTCATTTATTACATAACTTGTCTGACTCTTAAAATAATCAGAAGTGAATACAGTAGGTTTCTCTGGCAACAGGGAATGAGAACTTTCTAGAGTTAGTGGCCTCTCAGCAAAATCAATCAATCAAATGAAAACTGTTCAGAGTGGCCCTAAGCGATGACCATCTGCCCAGTCAGAGGGTGCCTTCTTCCCTGATCAGTATCAGACCCCAACAATGGGGCCCCCCGGATCCCTTCGAGACATCACGTCTGCACCCACTAATTGCAAAGTGCCGGCTCCAGAATAAGGCAGAGCAGGGGCCTTCCCAGTTCTAGAGCCAGTGCCCACACCGACACTCACCTTCAGACATTCGCCTTGAGCAAGTCATACAGAGTCGCAGGGCAAATTCAGGTTTTTAAATGAGAGCACACTGCATCTAAGTGTGGTTGAAGTTTTCCGTAGCCACGTCCGTACGTTCTGTCTGATGAGGCTGTAACTCTTGTTACACTGATAGTCCCGTGACAAGGAACTCACCCAAACACTGAAGGGAGCCAGCTTGGGCACTAAACCAAGTATTTGAAATAGTAATAATAATATTAATAAGTAATAAAGTCTTTGTGCCTGCTTATATTTGTCCAGCAAAAAGTTTTTCTACCTTAAGTAGGATTAAGTCGGAATTAATTTGTTGTCAAGCAAGAGACCAAAGCCCAGGGTGTCCAACCT